CTAATAATATTTAATATTTTTACTATAAAAATATTCCCATATAGGTTCATTCTACAAGGAGAAACGGAAGATTGTACAGAAGATTATAAAGATACGATGCGACCATTCTCATCAAGAAATGCTTGTTCTTTCGAATTAGAAGTTTGTTTGTTGGAGGGTATTTCAAATGAGAAATTAGTCGGTATTCAAAGAAAACGTTTAAAGGGTGATGCATGGGTTTATAAACGAGTGTGTGAAGAAGTTCTCGCTCTGGCAGCAGAAGATCTTTCTACGGAATCAGAAGGTTCGACAGAATCAAAATGTCCTATATAAAGTCTTCCTGATAATCATAACTTTCATAATATAAATATATATTTAAAATAATACATCACGGAAAGTCAATGGGACTATTCGTCTATACTCTGATCTCTACTAATTATATTAAATAGATTTAAAAAATAAGCCAGATGTAAAGAATATGAACGTTTGTATCTATAATTTCGGCAGATATTGTTTACAGCATCTTTGGTAACTACAAATATATCTGCATTGTACGTGTCTTAGAACATAGTTTCTTCTGAGAAGAAACGGGAGAAATATTACGAAAAATATAAAATCTGTAGTAAATATTTCGCCGGTCTTCGAGCGATATAATGGACTTAAAGTCTCAGCGATTATTACAATCATCAATTGTGTAATATTGTTTATACAGTATAAGAGAATTACAAAGAGATTATATTTCTTACGATCTTTCATTTAGAACAGTCCAATAGGAATAAAGTAACGTTAAAAGTAACTTTTAAACATTAAGAGTATTCATGTATTATTAACTGTATAAAAATAATCAGACAATAAAATTGAAAATATATATATATTTCTACAAATGAAAACTATTCATATTAATTTAATCAAAGCGGCTGTATAAAATACTAAGAACAAAACGGCATAGTTCTTACTAGACTCAAGTTAGCAACACGAACGGCGATTTCATCTTCGATCGTAGCACAAAGAAATGTCTTAAAAGAAAACTACGAACCTCGGCCATTTGCAGCGGAATATGTAAAGCTCCATTTTGAGTTCACGCCGCAGATATAAAGTATCGCGGCTCGTTTGAACCGCGGCATCCGCACGGGAACTGCTATGGACAGGCAAAGTTATAAAATCACCACAAATCGATCAGCATAAAGTGGAGCCGCGTACACTTTGCTTTATGGCAGTCAAACCGACCTTTTATCTTTGGCCGCTCAATAATCGTCGGTACTTGTTCGTAGGCAGTCTTGCCAAGCTCTATTCCGCCGAGGTTCGATTGGTACGTTCTTTTTTTCTCCCTTAAACATCGATCGAAACAAAGCGAGATCCGCAGAAAATCGAGCCGTTTTACTGAAAGAAAGACGTAAACGCGGGAATAAAGGCATTATGATCACGCTTTTGACACTAGAAATCGCTGGAACGACAGTACAAGTTTCGAAGGTAGTAAATTCGATATTTATATCGCAGACATTTTTACACAATTCCATTCATATAATACGTCTAAAATTAATTTTAGATTGTCTTAATTTTAGATTAGTCGGTGATCTCATGAAATTCTAACAGAATATTTAGAAAACCTTCCTCGTAAGTCGCAATATGCTGCAGTTATTTTTTCGTTCAGAAAAGAGTAATATTTAAAATATCTACATTTTCTTTTCTACCTTCATTTACCTCAGAGTATCGTAAACGCTCAACAAATGCAACAAATTGACCGCATTAGATTGCAAACATCTTATTGCGGAAATTTTGACATTTATATCTACCATTGAAATCGTCGAATCGCTACGAGATTATTTAACTAATTTTCAGCGGAATCGATCGATTTTTCACCACGAGAAAATCACGAGTCACGAGGCAGCAGCCTCGATCCTATAGGCATCGCCAGACGTGTCCCTTCGCGTTGAATAATATCTCGGTGGGGTGCGTGTTTTATGAGTCGGTTGCCGATTAATTAAACGGTTTATTTCGCGAAATTAATCAGACGGTACGGAGACAAAAACCGTGGACGGTATAAATGAAGCAACCACTCGAGACGCGGACCTAAGTCGTCTCTGGGCATAAATTACAATTAACCGTAGCATGCGTGCGCGTTCGCGTGAGCGCACGCACGTGCAACTTACGGTATTAAATTCATCCTGCATTTTATCGGGACGTGGCGAAGAGCATCGCGTTAGAGGAGGAACGCCATCGGTGGTTATACTCGATTCCTTCTGTAAGTTTTTTCGTCTGATCCAATCAAAGATGTTTCCAGGCTAATAATTAAGCTGTCTAACGATTATTACGACGGCATTTGCATATCATACGGTAGCCCTCGAGTAACGTATAATTTCTGAGAAAGGAAAATTTCGAAACGATCGATTTACGATATCGATATTTCGAGCGAATTAGATAAAAAATTAGAAACCAGTCTTTGACAACTGCTCGCGTTATTTCACAGAATATACATGTATACGATCGTTATAAATGGATTCCATTCGTTTGGCCTTTTTTTATCCGGCGGTGAATTAATGACATTGATTGGATAATTGTAAAATAACGTTTCAGTAAGAAATCGTTCTTAGACGTACGGAGAATATTAACTTTTTGAAGGTGAAATTATGTTCGCAGTGTATTAGTTGAAAATTCTATTTTCGTGATGTCATGTAACTAGGCGGGTCTGATATATTTCATTTTCCGTCATGAATATAACGGTAAATGATTTCTCGGAAGAAGATGGTTCCTGGTAAATGGAAATAACGAAGCAACAATGTGTGTTTTATCTTTTTTTAAAATTCAGTGATTTCTCAAGGAATTAAACTTTAGATTTTGAAAATAATGTTTAATATATACCATCCATTCGAACAACCAATTATTTTTCACCGCTTTTATTTTCTAATTATTCATTCTTATTTCTAATGAATTCTATTGTCCAATTAATTCTCCAATGTATGGAACTGGTTTTACCATCTTTCAACAAGAAAATAAAAAATAGAAACTTAAATCTCCTAATAAGAATATCAATACTTCTTCGACGACGTCGTTCATACCGCGTCTACAGGCTACTACAAATTATAATATAAACTGGACGCACGCAAATAAATATCACCGTTTTCTTATCTGTCCATCGAATTACCTCACGTTCGATCGTTACGGTTGTTCGCAGGGAAAAGAAGGACGCGAGTCAGGCAGTCTGTAGTTGATGGACGTGCGTTATTCACCACGTGCCCTTCGTTCTCGCCAATGGATCGGGTGTCGTACACCGGCTCGTACCAATTACCGTCTGGCCGTCGGTTAATTAAGGATTGGGGCAATGAGGCCCAGCGATGCAGTTTCCGTGATAATGATTATCTGCGACGGTAATTGAGCGAGTTGTTACGCCAGCAAACCGAGACACCATAGAACGTCGAGAATAAAGAAGCAGGAAACCTCTGATATTTTGTTTTTCGAAGATCTTGAAGAAGAAAACTTCGAAACCGGAGAAGAAGAAACGACGAAATTAGTTTTCTTCTTTTTAGTTTGAATATAAGGACGGTCCAAAATAACTGAAAACAAAAATATAGAAATGTAAAAATGATTCTATATTTGTTATAAATAATTGATATATATATATATATATATTGGAACAAATATACTTTTATATTTGAGATATATAATCATTTGATATTTTCCCTTTAACATTGTTCATTTTGTAGTCCAAATTTATTTGACCCCCAAACATATGGAGAATATCCAGGCGAAGAAGGATAAAAAGGATTCTATGTTGATCTTCTGTTTTACATTACTGAACTCTGTAATACTTTGGTACTTTAGTACTTTCTTCGATGCTTCCAGTGGATAATTCATAAAAATTTGTTCTTCATTTGTTTCACTTTAACAAGTCTTCGTCTAAAGATTTCCCTAAAGCATTTAAATTCCAAGTTACATTCTCTTTTAGCCTTTTGTTCTCTTCTACGTAGCAAGTACTAATTCCAAGTTGGTGTATCGTCAAATTAAATCCTCTTATTTATAATTCACCTTTGCAACAGTCTAGACTAATCGTCTTTTCTTTATCTGAATACGTATGTTCCTGAAGCAGGAGAGTTAGGTGAGTAATTCTAGCAGGAAAGAGGAGAACCTCGTGGATAGCCGCGAAGCGAGCCTGCAGGCAAAACGACTGGACGAGATCGGCGTGGATGTGTGCGGACACGAACAGGTACGTTCATAGACGAAGAAAAGGTAAGGGTGGCACGCGCGGCCCGCTTCTATCGCTTCCGGGCATCAGCGTGCTCGCGAGCCGCGGCTAATTGCTCTTTAATGCAAGCGAGCGAGCGAGCGAGCGAGCGCGTTGCTTTTCTTAGACGCCGAGGGAAACTGACCGCCGTCCTAGACGGCTGTAAGAAGCAGAATATGCGAGATTTATGCCGGCCCCCGGACTTTTCGTTACGCTTTGTTTGGAACATGGTTCTAGTTTTGAGAAAACTCTCGGTGCCTCTCTTCCTTCTTTTTAATTGCGACGGATAACTGTGCCTCTGATATCGATCTACAGCTGAATACTTAGATTACAATATCGCTAATAACCGAGGAATACGCGTAGAGATTGAGAAACATCGTAGAAAGTTTCTTGTTTCGATTTAAATCGTCACGATGTTGAGTAATGGTTTTTTCAGAAATATTTCAATCGTGTTACGTTGATGATTTGCAGAATTTTGTCAATTCCTATCCCCACTCAGTTTAGCATTGTTGTAAATTCTTTTATAATATATCTACATACACGTTGACCATGCGCGCTAACCCTCCGATTCTCATAAGCACCAACAGGTGCTCCCTTTTATTCGTTTGACAGCATGAGCAAATCGCTGGCTTATGGGTTCTAATGACTTTATTTTAGTATCAATTTCAGTGTGTTAATTTATAGTAGCGTTGACACGGTCTTTGGTTACAATAACGAGATATGGTAAAAAATAATGTATTTCACATGTATTTCGAAACAACTTCTGTGCTCCGTTCGATCTCAATTTTCTTTAAAATCATGTCAAAAACCACAAAATCTATTCATAAAAATAAAGATCGAGTGATTGGAAAAAATTAATCAAAGATAGCAGACTTCCTTCCGATCAATGATACAGAACAGAGTCCCATCACCTTCTACGATATGTATAGCGCAGGAGACTCTCGAATAAGTCTGAACAAAATCGTTAATGTTTATTCCCCATAAATAGCTGAAGGTACGTGTTTTTATATCTGCCGAGGAAATCCAAGAATTCTCGACGACAAAGAAATAATTATTCTCTGAATCGTATGTCGTGAATTCTTTGACACTTGATTATACCGTCAAAGGGTCAATGAATCTTTCTACTATCAAGCTGACTTGAAATCGTGTTCTTCTCGTGTTTCGCCTTACGTCGATTCTTACCGTGGAAAACGTGGTTGGTCGCAGGGACCACATCTGCCGAGGTGGGCTAGTTAACGTGCGCTCGGTTCGCGGTAGAGAATGGACGACAGAAAAGTACATAATACCTGGCTGGGATAGTAAATTTTATAAAATAATACCCTCTATGGGGCTGCATATTCATTTTTCCGGAGGGTCCTCCCCACGGTTCCCGGTGTCCGGCCTGAGTCGTCTACATATGTATGAGCTTCTGCTCGACTCCGTTGGTCACGCCTCGGCGAATCGAGCTTTCTGCCCTTCATTTTTCCTGCCTGTGTTATACCCCGTGTACGCGGCCCGCGACCGAACAAACAACCGAGGCTGACCCGAAAAAAGCCGGGTAAACCGGATGATTAGCACTCTTCGACTTCCTTCCTTCCTTCCGTGTGCAAGCTGCATAACGACGCTCGATTTTGGATGGCTTCGAGCGCTCGTAATTTCTTGCGAATGCACGCCGAAGCTGAAGAAAGCTTTCGGTGCACGTTGCTTCTCGTATTGTTTCACTTTTTTTTCAGTAAGAATTTTTTATTGCCTCGTCACTGGACTACGGATTTTCTATCTTTGCGAAGAGAACGAAAGAGGTGTGATCTATATAGTAATTTGCTTTGCTTAATAAAAGTAGTAGAAATTATGACGAGCGTGCTTCTGACATTTTATATATTTTTCTACATCATACGCATCCGTTGAATTTTCACAATTTTATATTTATTGCAGACGCGAAAAAATCATCGATCAAAATTCTTATAACGTTATGCGATTAATATAGTATAATACTTGTTATGCCACGTTCATCGTCTGTCTTAATTAATATTAGATAAGAAGAAAAGAAAGGAACATTAGTCCACTCTAATACAGCAAGAAAGTAAAAATCTGCTCATTCACGATTTTGTCATATGGCAGGTGATATGTGCTTCGGACATTTTGTATCGTATTTGTTTCTTAACAAAATTTCATTTTCCTAATTGTTCCAGACACGACGTTTTTTTGGTAACACTTATATAACGATATAAATTTCCAGCTCCAACCCTGTGCAATCTTTCACTTTGTTCTGTGTGAAACTTTTCCAATTAAATACACCATTTATGATCATTTTCACACCATGACGTACTTAATACCTAACAATCCACACTTTTAATACCTTCGCAATTGTTTAAACTAACTTTCGATCGACCTCTCCGTATCCTGCCGTGGCGGGAACTTTGACGAGGGTCTAATTGCGGATCGGTTGGTACACTGGCGTCTTCCTTTCGTTTTCGTGGAGAGTTTGCGGCGGAGGGGCGGCCGCTTCTATAAAATTGTAGCCCCTTATCGTCGCAGAGGAAACGAAACATTAAATCGACTCCGACGGAGGGGGCGGGCTGTTTCGGTGGGTGCGTCCGAGATTTCCTGTGCGGACTCTGGATGCTAGGAAGGATGACTTCCTACCTAGCGTACAGGGCGCGTCCATCGCTACGCGCTGGCGTCATCGAGCTAGATTTATTCGATACAAGGAGGGAACGCGTAACAAGAATTCTCGCGCTGGCTCATCTTATTCTTGCAACGCACGCGATCCAGCGTTGCTTCTTTCCATTTCGATTCCAACTTCCTGCCATGATTCTTGATTGGACTATCTTTTGATATAACACGAAGTACATTGCGCCTACGTTTGTTCGTACGTGTGTTCGTTCGTGGGTTTTGCGAAGCTCGTAGATCTCGTACTTCGTAGATATCTATGGAGAAGGAGAACGATGAAATTATTACAAATACTTTGAGATACCTGGTATTTTTGGAATGTTTTATGGATAATCAGAAATCTTCCGTTACTTACGATATTCCAAGAATCGTTCTGTGATTCCAATTTCTGAATTTTATCTTGTACTTATTGTTAAATGGACATAGAAAAAGAAACATTATTTTTAACCTTCGTATTACTCATTTTTATGAAGCAGAAAATGTTATACAACACGATCTCTGTATAAATTATACAGAAACTCTGTATAAATTGGAAACCAAGGAACTGGAGATCTTCAAGTTTACTACTATCCTTTTATTAGTCTCATTTATCTGATGGTAACTTTACAGATAGTAGAGATATACCTCATAAAGTATTCTGGAATGCTATCCAATATATTCAATCAGAATACAATCTCAATTTCTCCAATCATAAGTAACTTGAACGCTTGTATTAATCAAATCTGACCAAAATATAGAACATACATTGTACGAAGTAGATTAACCAGGAGATCAACATCCGCAATCCTCTCAACACATCTAACAGTAGAATCAGACGATCCGTTTCAGACAGCGCTACTAATGCCTGTACGCACTCGTCGATGACACGTTCCACAACACATGTTCCATATCATCGTCCGCATAACGCGTCCACTGCTCATGACGTCTTACACGCAATCTTTTCTTGCTTTTCTTTTTCTTATTATTATTTTTCCACATAAGCTTGCTCGCAATATCGCGATATCTAAACAAGTTTATCATTAATGCAGCAGTAGTGGCGCATTACTAGGAATTTGTATATAATGGTGCTATGTACATATGTAATGCGCCGGCCCACACATAATGGCGATATCATAAGATACGAACCAATAGCGGCAATTGTATGGAAATATGTATCTATGAATGAAGACACTTTCATTTATGAAACCAGATACTTATGTACCGGACACGGGCGTTGTAACATCCTGCTATTATGTGTCCTTACCTACTGCTCCTCCCTCCTCCACGTCTTTCCTCCTCCGCTTCGCTATCGTCTACCTCGCCTCCTCCCTTCGTCGAGCCACCTTCTGCTACCGTCATACGCTTTTATAGATTGGCGTTCGTTCGATGCTCGAGTTTATGCGCATATCGATGAGTATCGTTGCCTCTTTCCTGTATTAACTTGCATTCTCGCTGAAAAATCCGGATAAATTGGCTGTAACTGTTATCGCGAATCCTTATTTTTCAATTTACTTATCAGATATGTGGTCATTTGTTATATAAATTTCTGGAGGAGATGGTCAGAAGATTTAATATTACAAGGATTCGAAAGTAAGCTTGCGAAAAATACTTCGAGAGATTTGCAGGAGACGATAGCCAGAAAGTTTAACTCGAGGCTAACTTGAGATCAAAGTACGGGAAGAATCTTAGAAAAGAGAAAAGATTTGGGGAAGAATTCTTAAAATATTTCATTTGGTACAGATTCGAAAAGAAGCGTAGGAGAAAGGTTTATATTGGAGGAATTTCTGGCTGAAGGAAATATACGGAAAATTTAATTTGATAGAAATTGAGGAAGAATCTTAGAAAGAAAGAAAATATAGAAATAAGCTTTGAAGAATTTCTAAAGGAAGAAGATGTATAGAAAGTTTGCGTTCGTAAACATTGGAAAGTAACTTTTTAGAACAGAATTTGAAGGAAACATTTTTGGGGGAAGAAGGTCGTTAGAAAATTTATTTTAATAAGATTTCGAAAAGAATCTCGCGAAAAGAACGTAGGAAGGACACTCGAAAAAAAATTGCTAAAAAGCGATTTTTATATCCGAGTCTCAGTTCATTCATACATGATGTGGTCAGGAGGTACGAGGATTCCTCTGGTTCGTAGATCGTCAAGCAAAAAGGGACGAGCAAGCAACCCTTCATCGAAGGAGGTGGTGGAGGAGGAAGAAGGCTGGCGAAAGAGGCGAAGCCAGTTAGGGAAGGGAAAGGAAAGAACGAGGCTGAATGCGGTGACTGTGACGCTTTCCGGTCAGGTGCCGCCCTGACGATCCTTCTCCTTCCAACTTCCATTTAGATCCACTCATTCACTTACTTTTACCCTCCTTCCTTTGCCTTCCCCTCGATCTCTTCCTCCTGAATCGTCCTCCTCGTCGTAAGAAGGAAAATAGAGTGCACGCAGAGGAAAACAGGAAATTAATCCTTTCTAAATCGAGATCGCGAGTCTTGAAAAAGAAAAAAAAAAAAATAGGAGAGAAAATACAGAAAAGACGATGTTTACAGAGTCAAAGTAATCGATTTTAGAAATTCAAATTTTTCATCGGAATTCTATAAATTTGCAAATTGTTGCATTCATGGGTATTCTGATAATTCTTTGTTAAATATTTTTTCGTGTACCAGTCGTTTTGATTCCTTTTATCAACAATATGTACGTATTAGTGGTCAGTAATATTAGCTGAGCACACTTTAACATTCCTAATCACTCGAAAATCTTGCAACAATGAATCAAATAGCCTCTGTGTTAGATTCAGATTTTATTTCTGATTCTCAGTGTGTTGTGAATCGAGAATGATGGATAGCAGGAAACAAACGAATTTCGCTGGTCAGTAATATCCGACAGTTCGCATCAGAAAAGAAGATACCGAACGTTTCTTTCTATTTACCAGGTTATTACCGGTGTAATTATCGCGCTGCCTCGGGAGGCCATTGTCACAATGGGCGTCCGGAGTTTCCCTACGATTATCGTACCGAAAATCTCTCGCTGGCCAACCAACTCCTCGTCAGCTTCCTGCCTGCGACGGACAACGATTATTTGTCGCAACAGCGCCGTAAATTCTGCCAGAGAGGAAGGAAAACGGAAAATTAGTCGAAGGAATGACAGCTTTCCATCCTGGTGATCGCCGTTTACCAGACGTGTTGAATGTTTAAATTGAAACGGTTTCTTTTTATAGAAGAACGATCAGGCAGATACAGTTTAACATTCGTCACTAGATAATGTTGAATTTTCGTTATTTTAGGTATCCTGAATTTCCAATACGATCGATTAATTCTATTAACTTCAATTATTACGTTTCATTTCTACTTCTTACGAATCCTCTTGCAATTTACATTTCAATTTCCGTGCCTAGCCAGTTCCTTATTTTCTGTATATCTTATTATTTCAAACTTACCCCAACAGGTGCACGATTTACCTTTAATTAATTTTCCAACAAACTTTATCCATCTAGATATTTCGATCCTATTTTTCCGTCATATATCTTACATATCCCAGCGAGTTTACTATATCCAAGCACTTTTCAATATTCACTATGTCCATCATATTTAGCTATTTTTTAAATATTCCACCCGAATTTTATATTCTGCGATTAAAATACCCACGCTATCTATTTTTCTAATTAATTTGAACTCAGCGTAGCCTAAACTTAGCCCGCTCAACCCCCGAACAAACTTCATTCACCTAAATATTTCAACCTTTCCCTCGAACAGAGAGCCCCTAGAACAGCTATAAAACTTTGCACATTAACGTCCCTTTTCAACCCCATCTCTCGCAACACAAAACGCACCCTTAATTATAGGACCGTACGTTGTTTTCGCAAAAGCGGGGCGACGATAATCTTGCACCTCGTTGTAGTTTCTCCATGATTATCCTACCGAAAAATCTCCTTCTCTCGTTTGTGTGCACCGTCGTTGGTCGGCGTTGACTTCCTGTACCTGCCGGGTGGACAATGACCAGCACTTGCCGCAATGGCAACGGGGCAGACGCGCTCCTAATATCTGCTCGGCCGATCTAGTTCGCGGAAGCCGACGATACCTGTGCATAAACGTATGTAGGAACGTATGTTGGTACGTGCACGCGCTCAAACCTTCTCCACTACATACGCAATACGCGACCATAAGCACAGTGTACGTATGTGCATGCGCTCCACTATTCTTTCTTTCCTCTCCTTCCTGTCCCCTTCGATTCGCGTGCGTTCCACGGATACGCTGTTTTTTGCTCGCTTGAATTTCTATCGTCGTCTAGGAATTTCGATGTTTCGGCTTTTATTTTTAATTATCATAGATGAGGTATGTTACAAATATCGTTTAGAAACTCCAGTTCCATTAAAACGCAACCCTTAACACTCTCACTGGTCTACGAACTTCAACTTTCCATAGTTGAATATTTCACAGTTGATCACGGTAATTTGCCTGACTCCACTTTTAGTTTGCGTTTTATCTTATCACCGATGATTTATATCGCGTAAAATAAGAAGTACGAAATAAATATTACTTATTCTTAACTCAAATACCTAAAATATCGCAAAGTCTGATACGTAATTAATGGTCCAACGATACCAATTATGGGTAAAAACAAGTTCCAAAGTTTTCAAAAACTGTGAAGAAATCTATCCTAAAATTAGTTAGTTTCATTGGATTTGGTAAAAAAAAAGTTCAGTATCTAATCCTAAATAACATTCACGATTACTAGTAGCACAAAAATATTCAAAATCCAGCACCTAATCCAAACCTAATCAACTACTCTTACAATCGTCGATCCAGATCAAACGATACTCGTTAAGGATTAAGTAAATTTCAAAGCTACCAAAAAATCGGAAAAATCTCGACGAAACCTGTTCCAAAAATCACCTGTCTGGTTGGTCGGAGACTCGTCCCAGGTGGTCAGGTTTGCATGCGTCTCTTCCACTTCCTAGAGCGTGCATCCCCACGCGGCTACGGACACGCGTGACGCGTACACTCACCAGGAGGACTCGTGCTCTCTCGCGACGACCGGGGGGAGCACCGATTTCATCGTGGACGAGGGGTAGACGAGGAGGCGGAGGTGGAACACCTCCGGAGAGGGTTTCTGGAAGGAGGATATGATGGCTCGTGGCGTTATGCTCCGCGAACTGTTATGCTCCTCGGGCACCACCGGACCATAAGCTAGGCTACTTCGCTCCCGTACGCTCGGCGCAACAGCCGCCACGTTTCTTGTTATATTAGCGCATCGGCGTCGCCCGACTAAAGCCAACGAATCATCCTCGAATCATCTTCTTCCATCCAGTTCACCAAGTTCTTTCTCATTCTTCTTCTCTATAGTTTTTGAAATAGTTCTTGCTCCTCTGTTCCTTAGTTTAGTTGTGCAAGATCGAAGATTTTTCATTTTCTGGAAATAGTTGGAAATGGTTGAATGTTTTCTACGAAGCTGTAAGTCTTTAATTAAGGTTCTATGTTGATAGTAACTAGGTAATATTTTATTCTATATTTACTTGTATACATGTCTGATATTCTTTAAGACATCTTTATAATTCCGGCGCGATGATTTATAGTATTTGTTCATACGTGATATTCTCTGCGAAATAGTATAATAATTAATTAGGTGCATATAGAACCGTTTAGAAACCAAACTAATCAACTCGATCAAATCTCGTTAACGTTAGATCGTAATCAAACATTTTATACGTTGCAGTCTAATAGCGTCTAATTCTACAGAATTCTATTTGAAATATCCTACTTTATCCGGTAGGATAGTCCATTCTACTTACATTATCGAAACATTGACTTTGAAATATTTTCATGTAACTAAGTTGAGCTATCGTATGAAAACATATTTACGTAAAAACTCCCAATGCTCCCAGTAACATAATTCCAATAACAATTCAAGTATTTTTACATAAAACTATTTTTATATAACAGCTCGAGTTAGTTATATAAAATCATTATTATTAAATATTTAAAAACGCCCAGAATCCAATGTTTCGTTAATATAAATGTAATAAGCTGTCTTTCCAAAGTAGAATATTCCAGTGAGCAGAATTCAGTAGAGTCAGACGCCAATGGATCTAGGCACGAGCCACGAGTCTGCGTCGAATATGCCTCGCAGTCTCTGACCCGCAGTTCCTCTCTGAGGTACAGTGTTCCGGGGAGGCGGAGGTGGACGAGCATCACGATGAAGAGGTGGAGGAGAAGGACGATGGAGAAAGATGGCGCGGGAGGAGAAGCGGAGGAAGGAGCGTGTTCGTCGTTCAGCATGCGTAAGGAGCGCTGTGTGGCATTATGCACGGGCCCGTAAGGCTGGCCTGAAACGAGCGAATAAGAAAGTAGTTAAGGCCTCGACTGGCGGAGGTGGTTGCACGGATCGAGGCATTAGTTACCGGAGGAGGAGAGGGTCGACAGGGGGAGAGGCCTGCTGCCACGCGCTACCTGTCTCTCCTCTCTCTTCTGATGCGCTTCTCCGCTTCTCCTCCACCTCATCACTTCCTCCTCCCTCCTCGATCCAAATTTTATACACTCGTTCTAATATACATTTATGTCTTTGGCTGTTTTATTCAAATCCTTTATCGTCGATAGAAAACTTTCTTCCATTTTTCGCTCCACTCTTTTCAATACATTTTTCCTCCTTTTTTACGTTTTTCGATTATTCATCGTTGATAGAAAACGTTGATCTTCCATTTTCTTTTTGCCCGCGTTAGACCGTCTTATTCTACTTCTTGAACGTCTTCACGATGTTTTCCTTTCTTGCGTTCTCCATATTTGAATGACTCGAAAAATCGACAGACACGGCTTAGATAATTCAAATATAAAACACGGTACAATCTCTAACCAATAATACAACGAAAACAGTGCTCGTCTCCCCAATAAAGAATGTATAATTACACTTGAATTTTATATCAAGCAAGTTCCATATGAGGATTAACAGTAGCGATGAATCTCTTCTTAGCTTCTACAACAGAAATGAAGTAAATTATCAAAGGTACGTTAGAATAGTTATAAGTAACATATAACATATACAACATAAGTAATACAATAGTTACAATAATTATAATAACTATATTAAAAGTCAACTATAATTACCGATTGAAAAATCTTCTACATACAATCGTTCCAAATTTCTATCCAATTGATAGAAATACAGCATTTCGTTGTTCGCCACGAAGCTTCTACGCTGTCTTTTTCTCTCTTCTCGAAGTCCCCTACTCTTTATGATTCCCGCAACTCTTCCTCCCCGTTCTCCGTGCCATTCCTTCATCTAGCTCGAGCGATCATCCTCCGTGCCGTAATGTGTAACAACGACTCGTCACACTCTGCTTGCCGGCGCACACGATAATTGCCCTCATTATAGTTATTTAAAAAGCGCTGCCGCCTCCTCCGCGGCGATCGAGCCGCGATATAAGGACGCGAGTGCTCGCGCGCCAACGCGAGTTAATCGAGACGATAGTTAAAAAGAAGGGATAGAGAAGAATCGAAAGAAAAGAGGGAACGAGGCGGGGTAAAAAATAAAAGAAGAAAATTGGCCGCGTATGGTCGTGCGCCTTCGTTGTACGATCGTAAGTCTGTCGCGTTACCATAGGCAGTTTCAGTCAGTTTCTTTCCTTTTTGCTTTCCTCCGCCATCTTCCTTTGTCCATCCTCTATCCTCCTCGGTCGTTGCTTTTTTCCACTATCCATCCAGTCAGGCCATTGTTCCGGTTTGGAGGTTTTAAAACGAACATAGTAGGCTCTCTCGATTGTCGGTCGTTCAAGAATACCAGATAAGGACGTGACTTTTTGTATTAATTTGTTGCCTTTTTTATTCTCGCTTCTTTGTTTTCTTTCTATCGTCCGCTTGTACGTCCAGCCTGTTGTATAACACGGGGATGATTCAACGGTAGCTCCGTAATAAGAGATTAATGGGGTTTAATTAGCAAGCGGGATCGCAATTATCATGTGCAATGAAAGTTTCCCGTAATTGGGGAATTAAATGCGCCGCGGTAGATAAATTGACGGAGATTGTGTACCGAGGGGGTTGCGGCCTTTTCGTCCGCGGACACGCGCGAGCCAGACCGCTCGTTAAATCGCGCGAGTCTCTTCTACGGCGACCCTCGATTTATTCATTTCTTTCTTTTTTGTCGTTAACAGTATTCATCGAATCGTCGTGCTACTTGAAACGTTTCTTAAGCATCTTCGTTAGTACAATTGTTTGTTAAGTTTCAAATATTTCTGAATCTTCGTCTCGTTGCTAAGATAGAGCGAAGATGGAATTTAATGCCACGAAGAATATTGTAATACGACACAGTCGAAGAGACGAGTAACCTGATAGATTCGAAGAAACAACCATTTTGAAAAGAGATAATAAACTCGCAACGTTTTCTAGCAAACGTATAATGTTACTTCAATTGTTGCATTATCTTAACTCGTATTAGCTTAACTCGATATTAGCGTGACAAGAAACGCTGTTAATATAAAATGAAACGAAAAGATAGTTTCTGACGTAGGATTGAGCGATAACGTATTAAATTCTAAAATTGTTCTTTCACAGAAGACGAGAAACGTAACACATGTTCCATTGCTTCTTCGTCTGCGACTTCTATCTATTATATCCGTTTCACATTTGTTACAGTCGAAGAATATCATTTAACGCTATTTGACGACATTAATGCATTTCTATGCAACATTGTAGAAACCAAGTCGGCCATATTTAATATCTATCCGTTCGCGTCAGAAAGAGGCAGAATTTACTCGACGGCCGGGATGTTCGTGATTTTATGGTCCGGTTGGAACGCGACGGTTGCCACAGCGTTACGAATGTTGCAGCTTTTAGACACTTCGCGCGTTATTAACGGTTTGCCGCGAATCACGAGCCGTGCTATATTTGTGTATACACGGAGCGCCGCCTCTAACGGTAAACGGCCGAGCAAATTCTAGGGTGGGTGATAATTAAACGCTGCACATCGTCTCGGGTCAACCACGTTTTCCTTCTTACGTTTTCCTCCACCTTCCCGCGTTGGATTAGCAAGCAACGTCCACCACGACATCCTAACGACTTCGGTCATCTTTGAAATTATGTCAATTTCCTCGTCAAACTTCCAAGAGATCTTTTCCTACGATTTAATTGCTCAGTGACGTCGAAACAACCAACGAATGTAAAAATTGTAAATTGTTGATTGTAAAAATGGGCCTCCGTGTCAATTTCCTTGTCGAACTTCCGAGAAATCTTTTTCTACGATTTAATTGCTCAGTGACGTTGAAACAATGAACGAATGTAAAAATCGAATACGAATGGGGCATATCAGCTGGCTGTTAATAACTGGAAGTGGTCCCTTAAGAATCTTCGTAATCGATATCTTCAACGTTACTCGACACTCCATTGAATCTTCGCTGTTCGCTAACATACGCCTCGCATAAATTATTCACGCAGTTTGTGAAGCGAATCTTCCATTCGACTCTAATTTATAATATAACGGCCGGCCGTTTTACCGTTGCTTCATCCAGAATATTAGCCAGCTTTTCCTCGCCTTTGGCGAACGTTTCTTTCGACTCTCTCCTCGTCTCAACTTCGAAACGAGCTCTGGATTAATGGTCAGCAATAATGAAAATTTCTATTGGATCATCAATCATTCGTCTCGTTCGCAGTGCGACAAGTAGATCGTGGATGTTTATGCAAATTTGTATTTTTATAGACGTAATTGAAAGAATGGAATTTGAGCAGAAAATTATTTCATCCATTAAGAATCGACAAAAATATTATTCGAGTCAGCCAGAAAGCATTATATTAGAATTAATAAGATAATAATAATAATTTAATTTAAGAATAATTAATTTAAGAATAATTTTCCGAAATAAAATAATGTACACACGACGATTGAATCGTGACAATTAATT